TCAGATATCTGAGCACCATGTGATCAAACATGCTGCTTTAACCCTACAGGAGAGAGAGAGTGAGGGAAGTCCGCTATCTGACTGATGTTGATCAGCACCCGAATCAGAAGCTCGCCGAGCTCGAGGCTGACAAGCAGGAGCTCCGGGAGAAGATCTGATCCCTCCTGAACCGCCGAGCTTCTCCCGTCCCACCTGCCAAACCCGTCATCAAGCCTGCTGTGGACATCGGCCACATGAGCCGGCTGACCCGGCTGACCCGGGAGCTGAACGTCTCAAACAAGCACCTTTGCTCCATAGTTGACCTGGCACTCGCTGACATTAAGAACCACCTGGGGCAGTTCGATTGTCCTCTGGGGAAGTTGGCTCAAGTGGAACAGGAGGCAACCAGTGAGGTGGAGAAGCTACGATCCCTCGACAGGAAGGAGGCGGTGGAGAGGAAGAGCCTGTACAACGAGCTGCTCGAGCTGCAGGGGAACACCCGGGTGTTCTGCCGCTGCAGGAAAAGCTCGGCCTCCAGCTGCTTGGATGACCAGGAGGTGGTCGTCATCCAGAAAGGAAGTAGAAAGAAGTTCCAGTTTGACAAAGTCTACTCTCCCAGCAGCACACAGGTAAAGGCTTAGACGTCTTCCACAATTCTGAACACACAAACTTACGATTTCAGACAGGAGCTCCTCCCTCAGTCATGCCTATTTTTAAACAATACAGAAGCAGCCAGTGGTTGGCCTACCGACACTCAACTGGAAACCCATTTTAACCACATCTTAAAGACAAATGCTCAAAAAGTAGAAGATGAAACCTTTCAGATGAAGCCGTTTCTTTACGAGCTTTTCTGTTTGCAGGTAGCTGAACATTCGATGCAAAGAGACGGATGTTCTCTGAACACAAACTCTTACTTTAGATTGCTTGCTGGTGATCTGGGGGAGGTTAAGAGGTTAGATTAGATCACAGTGTCTGTGTTAATTAACAGAAAACTTAGCAGTTAAAAGCAATCCTGCATATTATTAAATACCACAGCTCTGTCATTAATTTTCCCACCGGGAAGGTTTGTTTTTGATCGTTAATGTGCTCGAGATTTTAATGAAGCCCGGGCACTAACGAGCGCTTGGCCTTCGCAGCACTCAGCTTATTAACGTTGATTGGTTTGTAATTTTTGTTTAATGCCTCATAAACAAATTGGCATGAGGCTTCGTTTGACGATCCTGTGGGGAGCGTGGATCTGCATCCAGAAAACCAGAACGTACCCAAAAAATCCAAGCAGCAAACCTCGGATGGTCGAATGCCCGTCATGCTGTTTTTTTTT